CATCTTAACAAAGAATCAAGAATTTCTCATAATTTAAGTAAAGTACTCTATTATTCCAGTTCTCCAGAAAAAAAATATATGTATGTGACTAGATAGATAGATAGATAGATAATGAAGAGTTCACTCACATGATCATGGCAATGGAGAGGGCCCAAGTTCCATAGAGGGCAAGCTGGAGAGGTGAGGTGTAGTGCCAAATCCTGTCCAAAGGCCTGAGAACTAAATGTTTTATTCCAGGTCAGAAGCTGGAAAATAGATAACAGTGTCCCAGTTCAAAATAATCAGGCAGAAGGAGTTCCCTTCACCTTTTTGTTCTATAGTCATGTAACAACACATAATGACATTTTTTTTGGTCAGTGACTGTCAATGATTGTGGCCCCATAGATTATAATAAAACTGAAAAATTCCTGTCGCTTAGTGCCATTCTAACATCATAGCATACATAGCACATTACGTGTTTGTGGTGATGCTGAGGGACACAAACCTCTGCTACCACTTGTGTAAAAGTGTAACGTATACAATTATGTACAGTGCATAATTCTTGATACTGATAATAAATGACTATGTTACTGGTTTACTCTACTTTTTTGTCATTATTTTAAAATGCACTCTTTCTACCTATTTTTTAACAAAAGATGTGCTGTAAAACAGCAAGTTGTGTTATACCAGTAGTGGCCATATATATCTTGTTTTAACTGAATCTCTCATCTGCATCATTTTCTCTTGTGTTTGATTTAATCTCATGCTGTTTTATACAGTAACATGCTATATAGACTTGTACCTACGAGCAATAGACTACACCATTTAGCCTAGGTGTCTAGTAGGCCATACCATCTCTGTTTGTGTAAGTGCACTTTGTGTTTGCTCAAAAACAAAATTACCTAGCAATGCATTTTTCAGAACATATCTCTGTCATTAAGTAGTGCATGACTATATTCAGTTCTTCAACTGATTGGTTGAGTCCCACCCACATTAAGGAGGGCAATCTGCTTTACTCAGTCTAGTATTACAAATATTAATCTCATCCAAAAATACTCTCAAAATCACATGCAGAATAATGTTTGACCAAATGTCTGGGCTCCCAATGGCCCAGTCAGGCTAACACATAAAAGTCACCATTACAAGTACATGAAGGCATAAAGATAAAACTGAAATTACTGAAGCTTAAATGTAGAAAAATAAGAAACATAATGAGAATGAAGGTACAGGGGAAAAGCTATGAGTCAAGCTTTAAAGGCTACACTGAAGTGTGATAGTGAATTATCACAGATCTTGGAAGAAGACTGTGGACATTATATTTGAGGAAGATTACGTTAGTACTTAAATGTAGGATGCATCACAATGTGGAGACATTGAAATTTCAAAACCAGGTAAGCAAAAAGCCCTGAAGACCCACATTGGGATAAATACTGCGTAATTAGAGAGCAGAGTGAAGACCCTGAACAGATGTAAAGAAACAACAAAATTAACAGAAGTTAGTAAAAATGTGAGAGGAAAAAAACTGAGTGTGAATGTTAGTATTATTGATAACAATGATAAATTTAGAAGAGATTTGTGAGAATCAAAGATGAAGCATTTAAAATGACATGTAAAATTTCAAGTTTATCTTTTAATCCTCAACCTCCAAATAAGGTATGAAATATTAAAATGCCAACATAATGAGTATTGATATGCTAGGGAAAATTTTTGTCTCTTCAACAGTTTTCACAATTCTATTATTTTTGGTTCACTTTGAAAAATAGACATATTGATCAGAAAAAAACATGCTGTAAAGGAGTTACTATTATGGTAAAATAATAATGTCTTTTAGCAAAATATCTTATTAAATCTCTGTAAGGTTGCTATTATTACCATACCTTTATCCATATAGTTAAGAAAATTAACTTTGTATACTCATTTAACCAGCAATTGGTCTTAAAGTATTTATTCTATCATTTCTTTCACATTTTATAATACAATTAAATGTATATTGTTTTTGTTGTAATAAAAATTATAAAATGTACAGTTGTTTCATGTTATTTTAATTATGACTTCAGTGAATAATGAAGTATAACTTTCATTTATTTTCAAGGATTAAGAAATTAAGGAATTTTTTTTAAGAATATAGAATCAACTTGTTTTTTAAGCCCTGAAGGTATTAGTAATTTTTATTTTATTTGGGTTTCCTGGTCCTAGTATTTTTTCACATTAAATGCACTAGTCCTGAGCTCAGCATCCTGTGGCACTGGACTGCCAAGCTGTTAACCTGTTTTTTAAGCTCATGCTGTTAAATAGGAGTTTCTTTACTTTTTCTTGTAGATATGGAGAAATAATTCTAGAAATAAGCTAATAGGTAATATCCACTTCAGTGTGATCACTGTAATTGGCTAATTAAATTGCTCTTCTGACTCAGTAAAGGAGAGTAGGTCAGAATTAGGGAGAGGTAAATTTGGAACATGGGACGCGTGAGGTCCAGATAGGCTTGGTGAGGTAACACGATAGCTTTCAGTCCCAAGGATCCACTTCACGGAGTCCAAGGTGAATCAGCAAGAGCAAGCAGTATGAGTGCCAATAAGGATACTGCTTACTAGTGTGGAAATGAGCAAAATCGGGTTGTTGAAAACTAAAGATAAAGATTTTCTACTAATTATGACAACAGAACAATGATATAAATTCCAGATGCATATAATAGATGTGTATTGTTTTTGATAAGGTGCTTTAAAATATTTAACTCTTCTATGTCTTTATTTTTCACTTTCTCTTTTTTCCTAGTTAATGTGTTTGTAAACTGACATTATTGAGACTCATATAAATACAGATTGTTTAGATTTAGTGTGGCTGAACAATAACTAGTTGAGAAAGCTGTTAGGGACATATACTTGTCCTGATCCTATATTAATATGCGGAAAATTACTGATACTGGTACAGTACTTTGACAGTGCTGCCTCCTGGTTCTCTTTGTGTGTGCAGACATATGGAGACTGAGCTCATATTCTTCTCCACACTGACTGCATGTCTTGGGTTGGCCAAAAAGCCTGTTTAGTTTTTTCTGTAAAATAAGAGGCACATTATTCATTTTTAGCAATAACTTCATTGATTTGGATATTTTGAGTATGTCAGCTATCTCCTGCATGCGTGGTATAATGTTGATTGTTCTCAGTTAATGTCTCTATTTCGTCACTATCAACTTCAACTGGACTACCCAACCGTGGAGCATTGTCCAGTGAGAAATCTCCAGCCCCAAACTTTGCAAACTACTTTTGACATGTTTGATCAGTCATAGTACCTTCTCCAAACACTGTACAAACCTTCTTTTGTGTTTCAGTTACATTTTTACCTTTCTTCAAATAATAAGGCATGATATGTCAAAATGTTGCTTATTTTTTCCATCTTCAATTTTAAAATGGTTACATAAAAATTCACCAATTTTGATAAGTTTTTTTAAATGGACAATGACATGACAGCTGTCACACTGCAATCTAACAAAATTGTTTTGAATAAAGTTAAAGACAACTAAGCTATACTAGAGCCATCTTACAGGAAAAAAAATTTTTTTTGGACCAGCTCAATATTTTAGACTGTGATAGAAATGTTTTATTTGGGGGAAAAGCTGTGTATACATATTTCCCTGGTACTCTTCCAGTTTTTAGAAAAATATGTTTAAATTTTTCCTGCTGAAAACTTTTAGTTTCTTTCTGGGTAGATACATCATCTTTTTGAAAAACCTTTCCCCCACGATTTCTTTTTGAATGGTTCACAGTTAAATTTAAATTTCTATATTTAGGTAGAATTATGTTTATATACCAACCACCAGTATCCAGGAAATTCAGTGGTAAGGCTGACACATAGGGAGTTTATAGTCTATTTTGTAGTCTGTGTATTTAGACAAGGTTTGAAGCTTGCTTAGCAGAATCGCTTAAACATTCAAGCAGAATTTCTTTAGTACAAATGCAATATTTGATTTCTTATAATTGTTAAGATAACAGTGTGTCATTTTTTAGAGATTAGTTCTCAGTAATATGTGTTAGATTTATTTCTTTCAAAGAATGATACATTCAGAACAGCTTTTATATGTAAATATTTTTATAATATTGGGTAGAAATGGTTTGGTTTAATCACCATGGTTTGATCAAGTTTGAAAGAAGTTACAGGCACTTTTTTGTAGTGTTTTCTCCAGCATCTTTATTTTTTTCAGCTGGATGTATTTTGTGTTCCTTCCAACTAATCAAAATAAGAAACTGATTTTGCCTGTGCCAAAAAATAGAACTATCATTTTTCACATTCTTTTATTTTCCAGGTCATTTTCAAGTAAGATTGTGTTTCTAGGACTTCTAAATTCCAGAAAACTCTCAACTTTGTAGATATAAGGGCCCCGATGAACATTTCAGGGAGAATCTAACTTTCTGTGCAGTATGTTTTGTGTTGTGCATTCCAGACACAGTTAACTTTTTGTGTGCATGCGATTAGTGTGGAGAGAAATTAATGCAGTCCCGCATTATGATTTATGGACTGAATCCTTTGCCCACTGAAGACCTGCCAAAACTAAAACTATTTTTTTTCCTTTGGATATTAGAAACAGCTACTGTTTTTGTTGATCTTTTAAAGGTCTGAATGGGCCTATTTCAAATCATACCAGCATGGGAGCTCAGATTAATAATATACTTATTCAACTAGTGATACTGAGTGAAACCATTGCTCACAAGGATATGAGGATACAATTTCATAAAATTATTTTCAGGTGCATTAATACATTTCTGGAGGCTGCACATGATTTTTCTTTTGCATGAAAGAAATCAAGGATTTCTGTTTATTGTATCAGTTACAGGTGGGCTTATAAGTTAAGTTAATTGCATTTTTTATACCTTAAAACATAAGACATTTTACTTTTAAGAAGAGTAATGTGATTGCTGGATTGTTCCCCCAAATTATTAACTCTTAGTATGTTTATCTTTCTTCACATCATGACTGTCATATATTTAATTTAGATTACTGAGAAAAATTCCTATTTTTTTTGTTGTTAGTTACAGCAAGCTGCTGAAGTTTCTCAGCTTCGGGGAGCAAGGGTAATATCTGCTGAAGATCTTCTGTTTCTGATGCGCAAAGATAAGGTAATATAAAAACTGTTCACTGAATTAAAATGCCATGTTTGGTGCTTAAGTACACATATGTGGGGAAACTAAATTTCCTTGTTATATGGTTTTCAAATTGGAACCGTAACTATTGAACTGATGTTTTAATCTTCATAGCTTACATGACAAAATGATTTAAGAAAAGTGATTTCTTTTTAACACAGGCAAGGGCACATATATAAAACTATGTTGATAACTAATTCTTACTTATCCAAACATGGGTATTCAGGCATGTTCATTGCTACATAATATTCATTAAATATTCACTGTTCTCATAAGAGACATATAACTGAGTAACATATTTATTTTTATCTAATTTTATACAGTGTTACAGGCTTTCAGAGAGTAATTTTTTAACTTGAAATATAAAATTTATTCTGACCCTAGTTTATAGAAAATAGAAAATCAATCAAGATGTATATTCCAGTAGCATAAATATATATCATAATGTCTAGGGTTTTTTATACCTTTTTTATTCTTATTCTTTGAGCACTGGTATTAAAATATCTAAGCTGTTACTAACATTTCTAATTTTTGTCCTCTCTTCTGTGAGTAGCTAGTTGAAAATATTTTGTAAAATATTACATTTTAATAAGTTTTATCTAAAAGTTACATGTAAAAAACGAACTGAAAAAACAGTCACTGGTGGGATTCCCAGCCAGGACACATACCTGGGTTGCTGGCCAGGTCCCCAGTAGGGGGCACACAAGAGGCAACTACATGTTGATGTTTCCCTCTCTTTTTCTCTCTCTTCCCCTCTCTCGAAAAATAAATAAATAAAATCTTTTTTAAAAACTGACTGAAAAATCAGTGTATTATGACAGATACTATCACAAGTGAGCAAGCAATACCTAGATCCTAATGTTCCAGCTTCCATTTCTCCATTGGTTTTTCCTGGCTTTTTAATTACACTTAACCATTCCTCTCTACCATTTTTGTTTGCTTGTGGCTCTGTTTTCTATCAATAGGCTTCCCACCTGACTTTTTGGATAGCCTTTTGTCTCATTAACTCTTAGAAAGTGTAAGAACTATAAAGGAAGAGAAAAAAATGTCTTTACTTTCAAGAAGCTGTAATCTAGTTTAGAAAACCTGTATGATTTAGTTGAAAGAAGCATTTTAAGACTCACAGAATTTTAAGATTGTGTGTCTTAAATGTAGATGTAGAGGTTGTAGGATTTTTTGAAGTGGAGGTTTCTACCTGAGATAAGACTCATGCAGTTACATAGAGAATGGACCAAATGCAAAAGAACTAACCAGGATACTGATTGAGTAATCAAGACAAAATAGGATTCCTGTGATGGCTCTGGAAGTGGATAAGAAGGAGGACTTCAGAGAGATAGTGAAGAGTAAAAACATATATAAAGGATTTGGTGACTTCATTAAACTTGGAGCACTAAGGAGAAACAGGTACTGCATAAGTAGTGGTGGTGTGAGGAAGGAGCTGAAAAAGTGTTGTTGGCAGAAATCAGTGTCTTGAGCCAAGATTCTTTATGAAGTCATCTGGACTACAGTGGAGTAAGCAGAACATGTCTGTCAGTTTTTCTTTTTCTCTGACAGATAAAGAGGCTAGCACACAAAAATAATCCCACATTGACACTTTTTCCTGCCTTTTGGGGAAGGTAAAATTTAAAGTCATGTTGAAACTTTAGGAGCACAGACTAATTGACAGTGCCCTTCACTGTCCAGGAAGACTCTTAACCAGAATCTTTCTAGCACCTGAGATCATAGCTGTAACGTGATAATTGCCATTGTTCTTGTCTTTCTCCTCAAAGTAATCATTTTATTTTTACAATGATGTGTACCAAACAGAATTTCAAGTAGTTTACACAACTGTAATATAAGACAAAATAAGATCTAAAGACTGAATGAATTTAGCAAACAGAAAAGGAGGATAGCAAAAGACCAATTTTTTCTCTTAATAATTTCCATTTACATTAGAGCAGTATTTGTTGACCGCCTACTATGTTTTACATATTACACTAGACAGTTTATTTATTCCTCATAATAGTCCTGTAAGGTAGGTACTTGACTTACTTTGTAAATAAAGAAACTGAGGTTCAAAGGTTATATCCTACCTCTGACCTTGCTAAGCTATAGGTGTAAGACTAATTTTAACTTCAGTTTTCCTATGTATATAAAGGAAATGAAAATAGTTGTCTGTATCTCAGGGCTACTGAAAACATCAAATAGAATGCATGTAAAAGAGCTTTGTAAAATACAGTAGGTTTCGGCTATTACTAGGAATTTTAAACCTAAAAGGTGAAGGACCAGTAATAATAATGCATTTTAAGTGTAAGCACATGACAAATTACAAAGTTTTAGCAGTTACTTTTAGAGTTAAGCAGTATTATGGTATTCTAATAATCCTAAGGAAAGTCGTCATTAAGACCCAACTATCATTAATCAGCTATGAGTTTCATAAAAATGTTTCTCATGTTACTGAATATTTTCCAGAAATATAAACCATAAACCAGCTTTTCTAAATAAAATAAGAAATTATCAGAGAATAAAAAAGAATAAAAAGGAGAATGTGTCCTTTTTAAAGCAGTTGTCATAAACTCCTTGTCAAATTGTTTATAAAACATTTTACATGATTTTTCACTGTATTTTTTCCATTACCACTTATCCCACTATACACTCTTCCACCTCCATCCCTCTACCCACCACAATCACCACGCTGCTGTCCATGTCCATGAGTCCTTTCTCTTTTTTTCTTTTTTGCTCCATCCTTCCACTTCTCCCAGTCCCACCCCCAGAGCTGTCAGCCTACTCTGTCTATAAATCATTTTTAAAAATAAAGTAGCTTAGGATGTCACACTTCAGAAAGAATTTAAAACTTTTTATAAGGCACAAATAAAGGTAATTATTGTGATTATGCAACATCTGGATACTTGTAAGTGAAAAGTACTTATAAAAATGCTTGTATTTCAGTTTTTATATTTAATATAATGTGTACATTTTTTATTAAATAGTATTATGCTGAAATTGGTCTGTTTTCTCCAGTCACTCTGGGGTACTACATTATTAAATTTAGTTATTGTAGTCTTTACTCAGTAAAGTGAATATATGTACAGGATATGTATAAGGTTTCTTATTTAATGATTTTGTTTTTAATAGAAAAAACTTAGAAGACTGCTAAAATACATGTTTTTCCGAGACTACAAATCAAAGATTGTCAAAGGTATAGACGAGGATGACCTTCTTGAAGGTAATCTAAACAAAACCATGACACGTGTGCCGGACCTCACGTTTATGGAATGTCAACATAGTTGTTCTGTTCAGAGTAGAATATATGTGCTTCTGTTGAATAATGTAGTTTAGAAAGTAACCAAATATTTATTTAGCTGGCAGCTAAATCTTCTGATTTTCTACTTATGTGACTTAATAGTAATCTGCTATTTACTTCAATTCTTTCTTTTAATAATATGACCTGCTTTACTTCAGAAGATCATGAAACTAAGAAAACTATATTGATTGAAAGCATTATTTTAGCAAGTATAATTTTTCTTTTGTGGATGTAGAGAACCAGAACTATTACATCTTTGAAATGGGTACATATGGGGTTTTGTTCATTTGTTATAGAAAGTATCGGATGTTTTATGATACAAAGTCACCTCATTTTGATGTGTATGTCATTGCTGTTTGAAATGTAACAAAAGCCTGACACAGAATAGAAAAGTTTTCTTATCTGATTTTCTAACTCAGTTCCCCATTCTGGAATATTTAGAAAAAATATTAATGTTGCAGAATCTAACAGTACTAAGCTAAAAATAGGTAATTACTAAACAGTGCTTATTGAATCAAAATAAATACACTTGACCCTTGAACAACATGGATTTGAATTGAGAGTCTACTTAGATGCAGATTTTTTCAATAAATACTATAAATGTATTTTTTTTAGGATTTTTCTTAATAACATTTTCTTTCTCTGTCTTATTTTATTGTAAGAATACAGTATACAGTACATATGATATATAAAATATATGTTAATCAACTATGTTATCAGTAAGGCTTCCATTCAACAGTAAGGCTCTTAATGGTTAAGTTTTGGAAAGAAGGGGAAGGGACTAGTCAAAGAACATGTATGAATGACCCATGGACATGGACAGTGGAGTGAGGAATGACTGTGGGAGCGGGGTGGGGGGTTTGGGTGGAGGAAGTCCAAGGGAGAAGTATTGGGCCAACTGTAACAATAAACAAGAATAATAAAATTTTTTTAAGAAGTTAAGTTTTGGAGGAATTAAAAGTCACATGTGGATTTTTGACTGAATCATGTTTGGCACGCCTCACCCTCACATTGTTCATGGGTCAATATATGTTGTGTTTTAGAAATAACTCATATATTGTGGATTCAACACAGTCACTGCATAGTGTTATTTATTGCTGATATATATGTGTGTATGTGTATATATATGTATATGTATAAATATAGATAAAATAGTTAAACAGACTCTACTGGATTAAGAAGAATTCTAGAAAACTACTTAAAACCACCTGAATAGTTAATAGACTTTGAAAGAGAATTACTTTCATTTACCCTCAACAAATCAGCAAGTATAATATAGCCATGCCAAAAAAAAAAATTCTGGTCAAATGTTTAATCATTGTGACCTATTTAATATTCCTAAAATTCTCATAGAATCTAATTTCTGGAAAACATTTCTTCAAATGAATTTACATGCTCTTCTTTATGGAGAACACAAAGAATACAGACTTAGAAAATAGACTTGAATTTCAATCAAGGGTCAGTTTTATCATTTATAAGTCAGAAATTTTACCACTTTCCATGTGGAATTATTATGAGGTTTCAACATAATATATGGAAAGTCCCCGATACATTCCTGCCACTGAATGAACGATAGCCGTCGATACTGTGTTTTGAACACCAAGACGCTCAGAGTGGCGAGGATAGTGTTCTGTTGCACTAACATTGTTAGATCAGTCTGCTGTCCTCTCTTCCTTATTTATTTCAAATTTCTCCTCTTTATCTCATTTAAATTTTCTAATTTTGTGTGTCTTATATAAAATTTTTGAATGGTTGATAGAATTTATAAGATAAACTACTTAAGTAAAATACATCTAATATTGAAGTATAACCTGTAGAGTGGCCACGTGAGGAGTGTGGTAGACATGTCCTCATGTGAAACACATTTACCTGGTGAAAATTTTTTAAATAATAGCTTAAGTTTTAGGACATTGTCCTAAGGGCATACAGCAAATGGAAAAACACATATTCAAGAAAATCTACTAAATCTCATTAAGCACAATGAGAATCTCTTGCTTTTGAGACATGACCTTCTCCCATCCCTTGCCTCCCCTCTTACACTGCCACCCTATCTGAATATGAAAGGAGCTTTACTCTGGGCAAGTGTGACCAAGAACGCTGGGGACCTACTTTTCCAGCTCGCAGTCTATGGCAGCAGTTTCACTCCAAGAGGGGCAGGAAATCAGCATCTCTCATCTTCTCTGGCTCCACATTGCAGAAGCTCTATTGGAGGCAGGCATAACTAAATGCACTGGAGCTTTCTTTCATTCTCTTTTCTTTGGAAAGTTCTACCCCAGACATTGCTGGATGAGAATACTGCACCTGATTGGCTCTTTCTCATAGGGAGTAAAGGCCCATGTCTGAAGGAACAAGGCCTAAAGACAAAGGGCTCCCATCCTTGACCAACTCCCCTCTTGGAACAAGGAAAGTCTTTCCAGGAGAAGCTGATTGCTGTTTCTATCCTGAGCTTCAGTACACTGATCAAAGGTTCAGCCCAGAGGGAAAGGCAAGGCTTAAGATGGGTCTGCAGCCTTCCCTAAGGGAACTGACTATTTGGAACAGAGCATGTTAAAAAAAAACAACAACAACAACAAACAAACAAACAAAAAAAAACAGCAGAGATCCTGGTGATGAACAATTAAAATGGAACTGGGAGCTTTGTGACATTAGTTACAACAAGCAAAATCAGTGCACAAGCTAAAAGTTAAACAGAGGAAGCAAAGGAAAGGGACAGGAGTACTCCTGAGGTCAGAGCAAAACTTAAAAGCTGGCATCACCATGACTCTGCAAACAGCCCCAATGTTATTTGGATCATTTTGTGGAGCAATTTATGCTAAAGAGTATTAACAAAAGCGATAAAGTGAGAAGTCAGCCAAGAATTAGTGGAAGCTAACAGCTCTATGTGATAATATAGTCAAACCAGCCAGTAACTTAATGGGAGAGATCAGGAAAAGGGAAAGCCAAAGAAAAACCGACTGACATCAGTCATCACTGGTAACTGAGAAGACTGTTTCCATGCTCAAGGCTGTGCCCTCTGAAGAGCAACTTCTGAGGCTCCACACTGTGAGGGAAAGAGATTTTATTGAACTAGTCCAGCCAAGTTGCTAAACAAATAAATACACAAACAATGACAACTAGCCTCAGGAAAGGGATAGAATTATTACCTAAGTTGGTGCAGCATGCTATTTAAAATGTCTATTTTCAACAGCAGCAACAACAGAATACTACATATGCAAAGACACAGGTATGTGTGATCATTGAGCAGGGGTGGGGAGTGGGGGCAGATAACACAAATGGCCCCAATGTTGGACTTAGGAGACAAAAATTTCAAAATACCTATTATAAATATGTTCAAAGAAGTAAAGGAAACCATGTTTAAAGAACAGAAGGAGGTATCATTACAGTGTATCACAAAGTACAGAACATCCATTAAAGGATAGAAATTGTAAAAAGAAACTAATGGGAATTCTGGAGTTGAAAAGTACAGTGACAGAAATGGTAAATTCAGTAGAGGGATTCAATGATAACTTTAAACTAACAGAAGAAAAAAAAATCAGTGAACTTGATGTTAAATTGTTAAAGATTATACAATCCGAAGGAAAAAGAAAACTGAATGAAAGAAAACTAAAAGAGCTTCAGAGAAATATGAGACACCACTAAGTGAGCCAGTATAGGCATAATGGGGCTACCAGCAGGTAAGGAAAGAGAAAAAACAGCAGAAAAAAATATACAAAGAAATAATGATTGGAAACTTCCCAACTTTAATGAAAATTATTAATACATCTAAACAGTTCAATAAGGTCCAAGTAGGATAAATAGATATAGATATCCACAATCAGGCACATTCTAATAGGAATGTTGAAAGACAATGAGAAAACCATGAAAACCACGAGAGAAAAGCAACTCATCACATACAACTTAATTATCCAAATCCTAAAGATAGAACCATAACAATATTTTTAACAGCTGACTTCTCATTAACAATATAGGTCAGATAGTACTAGGATTACATATTGAAAGTGCTGAAAGAAAAAATGTCAACCAAGAAACATATTCAGCAAAATTATCTCTGAAAAATGAAGCAATAAGGATGTTTTCAGATAAACAGAAAGTGAGAGAATTTCTTGCTAGTACTCATATAAAAACTGCTAAAGGAAGTTCTTTGAACTGAAAGCAAGTTGCACCAGATAACAATTTGAATCCACACCTCCGCACACAAGAAAAGAGCACCTGTGAAAATAATTATGTAGGTCTATATGAGACAAAATAATTCCATACTCATTTTTCTTCTCTTACCTGATTTAAAAACAGTTGTATAAAACAATGTCAATGTTTATAATGCTGGGTGTATAACATGTAGCTATGCAATGTTTTGACACTAACAGCATAAGTGAGGGGGATGGTAACAAGCCATATTGTAGTGAAGAGTGAGCAAAAAAAAAAAAAAGAAAGAAACAATTGGTAAATAAGATGGTTAATATAACCAATTCTGTGTTTACTTTCTGTCTTATAAAGACAAACTGCATGCAGAAGAAATAGCAAATCTATGTAGACCTATGATAAATAAAGAGTTTAAATTAGTAATTTAAAAACTTTCCCCCCAAGAACCCTGACCAGTGTGGCTCAGTTGGTTGGGTGTCATCCTGCAAAGGGAAGGGTGGCCAGTTTGACTCCCTGTCCAGGCACATGCCTGGGTTGAGGGTTTGGTCCCCAGTTGGGGCACATGCAAGAGGCAGCCAATATATGTTTCTCTCTCACATCGATGTTTTTCTCCCTCTCTCCCTGCCTTCCCCTCTCTCTAAAAATAAAAAAAATAAATAAACTCTTAAAAAAACAACTTTCCTCCAAAGAAAAACTCATGGCCAGATGATTTCACTGATGAATTTTACCAAATGTTTAAAGAACAATTAATACTAATTAATATTTTTCAAACTTTACAAGGTCAGTGTTATCCTGATATGAAATCAAGTGAAGACATCACAAGGAAAAAAAAAAACAACTACGACTAATGTCTTTTGACTATAGAATTCTCAACAGAATACTAGTAAATGAAATCCAGCAACATCTAAAAAGTATTATACACCATGACCAAGTGGGATTTATCCTAGAAGTGGAAGATTGGTTTAAACTTACGAAACAGTTAGTGCAATTCATCATATTAGTAGCATTAAGAGCAAAAACCACATGATCATCTTACTAAGTGTACAAATATCATTTGAAAAAATCCAAAAGCCTTTTGTTTTGTTCCTTTAATTTTTAAATTTTTTCCAGTTTTTTCAGTTACAGTTTACATTCAGTATTCTTTGTATTAGTCTCAGGAGTACAGCATAGTGGTTAGATAACCATATACTTTACCAAGGGTTCCCCCTGATATTTCCAGTACCCAGCCAGCTCCATACATATTCCATATGCTGTACTTTACATCCACATGACTGTAACTACCAATCTGTATTTCTCAATCCCTTCACCTTTTTCAAAGCTCCCTTGTGTCTCCTTTTAGAAGAGCACTAATTCCATTCATGAAGGTTCTTCCCTCATGACTTAATTACCTTCCAAAGTCTTTACTTCACAATACCATCACACTGGGAATTTGGTTTCAACATAGGAGTTTTAAAGGGGGGTACTCATTCAGGTTGAGAGAGTTTTCTTCTCTGCCTAGTTTGTTGAGTGTTCCTCTCATGAAAGACTTGGATTTGGGTAATTAAATCATGAGGGAGGAGCCTGCATAAATGTAATTAGTGCCTTTCTAAGAAGAGACACAAAAGAGCTTGCCTGATTCACTTTCTCCTGCTCTCTGCCATGTGAGGATATGAGAAGACTGCCATTTGCAAACCAGGAAACAGGCCCTCATCAGACACCAGATCTACCAGCACCTGATCTTGGCCTTCCCAGCCTCTAGAACTATGCGAAATAAGTATTTGTTTTTTAGCAATCCAGGCTATGGCATATTTATTGTAGCAGCCCAAACTGACCAAGACAGCCATCTATGAAAAACTCACAGCTGGCATCATACTTAATGGTGAAAAAAAGTATGCTTTCACCCCAGGATGTTTGGATTATCTTTATTTGGTATAAAGATCTTCATGACATTAAAAAATAATGTAGTTCTTTCTCACTAATTCTCTCACTGATACTTTTATGGATTAAACAGTATTAATTACCTATTGCAATGTTACAGTCCTTCCTGACCTTTTGCAATAACTTTCTCATAGTCAGGTTTTGCTTTTAAATAAGTATGATGGTTTTATCTCTTAAAAGAAAAAGGATAAGATCTCATCCCTTTTGATTTCAAAGGTAGTGCCACAACAACACACATAGTGTTCTTTTAATTTCATGTCTAAATTCTGATTTTTTATGTCTTTTTTTTTTATTTTCCTAATTAGGCCTGCCATAGCAGTATTCTTGTTTCAAATCTAAGAGCCTTTCCTCTTTTTTTTTAAGTAAGGAATTTTAATCAGACCATTCACGCCTACTGTGGTAATTGATAATTTAGTTTTACTCTTTCAATCTTATGAAATGAATAACTAATTTAATTCTGAAAGACTTAGACTTTTTGGCATTTTTAATTGATTTTAAAAAAGGAAAGGGGAGAGACATACATGAATTTGTTGTTCCACTTATTTATGCACTCGTATTGGTTGATTCTTACATGTACCCTGACCAGGGACCAAACCTGTAACCTTGGTATATCAGGACAACGCTCTAACCAACTGAGCTACCCAGTCACACTTTTATTTAAGATGCAAAGAGTCTCCTTTTAAAAATTATTTTGAGAGAATTCTATTTCTGAATTTCATATTCAGTATTTAATACATGAAATGATTGGTGTGATATAACCTCATTAACAAATTTATTTTTTCTTTCCTCTATCTCCATGAAGACAAATTGAGTGGCAGTAATAATGCAAACAAAAGACAAAAAATTGCTCAAGACTTTCTCAACTCTATTGACCAGACGGGAGAACTCTTAGCAATGTTTGAAGATGATGAAATTGATGAAGTTAAACAAGAAAGAATGGAGGTATATAGTTCACTCTTCCCTTTTTATAGTAAAAGAATACCCATAGCAGTTTGCAGTGCCTCTATCATTTGGTTCTATTAATATGTTCTTTAAATGTTGTTTGAAATGCCCAAATCAGTGGTTTCATGTCGGGGGCAGCATTGTACAGTGGAGCAGCCAGGAGAGGGTGTTAAATTCTGCCTTCAGAGTTCATGTGGAGAGATAGATGACTTCAGTTTTCTGTTTCTCTGTTTCCTCCTTTGAGTATCAGTAGACTTCCCTCGGCTTCCTTCTTTTTTTCTATATCGTACTTTTACGGATACTATTTTATTCCTTAAAGCTAATTCATGAGTAAATATTTCTTTATGTTTTGTTCCAACTGATCCAGTTAGCTTTGTGGGCAAAGGTAATTCTAACTGCATTTGTGTTGGCATATAGCGTGAAGAACTATTTTTCAGTCTGTAGTTGCAGGCTATAGTGGTACTCACTAGCTAAGGTAGTATCTAGGGCAATTACATGCTTTATATCACTGTAATATGAAGTTAGTGACATGTGTTTGGATTTCCTGGATATATTTTAACAATGAATATGAAAATCGTATGCCTTCTATTTACCTTAGCTTCTCTATTCATAAAATTGTTTCCTTAAATACTTTGGAAAAATAAAAGTAATGATTGATTTCATTTGAGTGCCTTCCAAAGTACAAGGCATTATTATTATCATTCTTCTTATTATTATACTTTTACATGTGAAAGAAAAATCTCTATTTTCCCTTTATTTTTAAATTAGGCAAGAGAGGTAAATTCAGAACTCTGAAAGATCATGCTAAGTACCTACTTTATCATAGTCTCTACATGCATGCTAAGAATATAATTATTTCATGTTAAATTTTGGAAGAAGCCCAATAGGCGTACATGGTTTATAAATTTTAACAGCCTTCTTTAAAGAATTAGTATGCTTAGATCATGAACTGCGATCTAGAGGCAATGTTCTTCTTAGGTATCAGTTACCTTAGAAATGCGTGGTTATCTTGGTTTGGGGCAACTGCAAATGGTTTTAGTTCAACTTTGCCTTGGGCCAAAAACATGCTAAGTTGTCCGATGGAGATGATAAACATATATTTCTGATGTCATCATGGCCTAAACAGGATATGATTGTTTAGTGGCATGGTTTCACTTATGACAAAGAGCAAATATTGTTTATGCTTTATTTTGAAAACATTTTTATATTATACAAATGGGCATGAAGAACGATTCATTAAGGAAGTACTCCACATAAAACATTAGTAAAATTGAATACATAGCTCGTCAATTTTGATGAGAAAACATTTGCCCAGAAGGGCATTCCACAATCAAGGAGAAGAGGAGAAGTGGAGCGTGTTGTAACACTAAGCTCATAATAGCAGGCTACTGTGAGCCTGGAAAAATGATGAGTCAGTAAAGGTACGAGCTAAAGTCAATAAAATATCTGGAAATACAGTGTAGAAAAAACCTGGGAACTTAAGCAGTTTATATACCTCTTCACTGTAGTTGTATTATATATTACTTAGTGTTAACTGGGATAATAAAATATCAATAGTTGATAAAAATAGTTACAATGAAAGTCAGCTGCATATATACAATAAAAATTAGATTGGTGGTTTATCTAAGTTTTATATCATAATTAAAATCTTCTCTAAGCGAGATTTTAAAAAAGTAGTTTTGAGATTCTACTCCTTCAAATAACATAGTTGAATTGAATAAAAAGTGCTGACCTTGTAGACATAACTGTAGACAGTAGAAAGTGGAACCGTTAAGAGCATAGGCCTTGCCTGCTTCTAATTTGACAGGTTATAGTTTCAAGCGTAAACCACAACTGTGGCAGTCCATATGAAACCACTTTGGACTCACAGGCTGCAATCTCTTGCTTTTAAAGTGCAGTAGAATAATCAGCCCTGGCATCACTCAGTGATTTAATTTTCCTCTAAGCATCACTTACAGTTGCAGAAACTTTGTTTACTACCTTCTCTCCTAGAATGTATGAAAATGGAAAAGACCAACCAGCAAAGCTTACTGTTGCTTTCTTTCTTTTTCTTTTTTCACTTAAGTATAATTTGGAAGAGAAAGCAATTTATAGATATAAAAACTCACTTGGGACCCTAACTTTTTCTCAAAACATTGAGGAACCATAAAAAACAAAACAAAACAGATTTTTCATTTTTTTCCAGCTGATTTCTCTGTGTGCCTGGCTTTGTATTCCACTCATAATTTAATTATTAATATTAAGTATTATGTGATTTTTAAATATAAAAATGTCTAAACTTTTATATCCATTTCTCTTTGCTAGTCCATCCTCATGATAGCGAAGTCTTTTTTTTCTCCAGCAATAAATTTTTAATACTTAGGTATACGTATGGTAGAGAGCTATGATCCACAATCTCTAAAAATCCTTCTAAATAATCAAATAAAGATTAAATAATATTCAAACTTGCTTTAGTGTATTTGAGAGACTGGGAGGAGCAGGAAAACAGTAAGCATAACAACACAGATACATACAACTCCCCTCCAATGCCTCTCATGGCCACCTTCCCCCACCTCAGAATAACACAGGTGTGTTTTTCTGTTACGTTATAAATTTTTGAGGTCTCATCAACTAAATGTGGCAGTGCCAACCAAAGGCCAAGAAAAGTCACTAAAAGATTTGTTTGGATTTTCGTAACAGAGGAACTGGGGTTACTCACATAAGAGCCTTGCTTAAGACCCAGCTGCTCTGCTGTGAAAGAACCTGAGAAGCTCACATTTATCATTAATCAAGTAAAGTATCTGATCTAATAAGCCATATGGTTTGTGAAGGAGATATAAAAATAAATGCTTAAAAATTGGGGTGAACTCTACCTCTGACTGATCCTCAAATCAATATAAGTAAATGAGAGAGCAAAGATTGGAACTCACCAGAGTGCAGCCTTTGAACAGATTTTGATGCCAAAAATCCCAAGTGACTGTTTATCTTGCATTTTTAAGTCAGAAGCCTAATACTGAAATCTAGAGAAAAAACAAAATGGAATACATAAGATTTAGGGCAAAATTTTTGTTTAGTTGGCTTAAAATTGAATAAAATCCCCGGTGGCTGCCTGAATTTAACCTGAAGTGGCTGGCCACAGCTTTAAAAACACAGATTTTTCTCATAAAGGTTGAATGACCAGAGAAATCAGGTATACCATTATTATGCCATCATGGAATAACAATTAAGTCAGCCTCTTGCCCCAAACAGCTTTTAGAGTTTAGGAGACAGAAAACTCATTGAAGAAGCTGGAGAGGTGGATGGCTGTAAAAGTTTTCTGTCTTCTCCTATTCTTAAAGTGTGTTCTTTTTGCTGTTCCTTTTTTCTACCTATCACAATTTTATAAAATTATAAAATAAAGTAAAATAAAATGCCCTTAAAACTGAGAGTTCAAAAATATTATCTTAGATTTATCATAAAAGAAAAAAAACTGCCCTGGTTGGCGTAGCTCAGTGGATTGAGCACGGGCTGGGAACCAAAGTGTCCCAGGTTCAATTCCCAGCCACGGTACATGCCTGGGTTGCAGGCCATAACCCCCAGCAACCGCACATTGATGTTTCTCTCTCTCTCTATCTTCCTCTCTTCCCTCTCTAAAAATAAATAAATAAAATCTTTAAAAAAAAGAAAAAGAAAAAAAAAACTAATCCCAGTAAGATGTGTTTACAAATACTAAAAAAATTGAAAAACTTGAGCTAAAACCTTAAACCCAGAAAAGTTTAGTATTTAAATGTTTATAGGGTTAAAAAATACAAAATTTATATACTACAAATCTATAGTTAATTATACACATTATATACCAAAATGTGCATATATTACATATACTATGTCCACATATGTGTGTTTATCCTACATCTGTAAGAACGTATATAATTTTATTAGATTTTTTTAAATGTAAAAGTAAAAACAATCAGATGATATCAAACTCGAATACTAATGGTAGCAACACTGGTTCAGAGGAAAGAGAATTCAAGGGGAAATCTTTAAAATGAAACAAAGTCAGTAATTTATGTTACTGAAAGATGCTGCCTTAATCATCAAACTCCAGAGAATTGAAACATTCCAAGCAAAAGCTTCTATTAGTGCCAGAAGACATCAGAGAAATGCATTTGTTGTGGAGACTGACCATACCATTCTCAGTACTTGTCAATCAACAGATTGAGTTGGGGAAAAATATTTTAATAATAAAAATTTAAGTTTATCTAATAGATGCATATAAAACAGTTTAGAAATGAGCAACAATTTTAAAATCTTACCCAATAACTCCAAAGATTACATGGTACTCTTTGGGAAAGGTGAGGTGAGGCTTGGTGGAGCACTAGCCTCTACCCGCCCGCCCCCCCCCCCCACCCCCACGCACATCTTCTTCAGCCAGAACTTTGGTTTTACATAACAGATTTGTATACCATCAGTAAAAAAGGGTTTTATTATTTTCTCAATTAAAATACATTGCAAAACACAATGACTTAACTGCCCATGGTAAGTCTTCCTCACACAGATTCCAAAAATACATAAATTTCTAAGCATATTGCCTTACCAGATAAAAAAAATAAAACCTGAAAAGGAATAACAGAGATTAAACAAACAAAATCCTAATTAACTGAAAATTTAAAAAGAAAAAAAAACCATAGAAATAGCTAATAGACCAATAACAAGTAAATTAAAAATTACTACCACAAACTATTTAGATAATAACAGTAATGAGACTAGTATATATAAAATTTAATAAGTATGTGTGGACAAAGTGTTATTTAAAAGAGGCAACTTTTTAGCTTTTAAGCATTTCATTATTAAATTTGGAAAATGAAAATAAAATAAACATTCAACTAAAATTAGAAATTTTACATCCAAATAAACAGAAAACAAACACATAAATTAAGTTAAAAACAAATCATCGAATTTGCCAGTTTAAGAAATTCTTTGTGAAAATAACAACAAAGGTGGAATGAATTTATGACGTCTAAATAAGAAACCCAAAAAAAAGA